TAAAATGGGTTTTTATTTCATCTCTTAAAGAGGAGGCAAAAAGAAATCCTATGCTGAAACTACAACCATGTGGCATCTCTTTTTTGTCTTCACCTTTTTTTTTAATTTCACCCACCTGCCATGGTTCTCCTGCCTCAACACTGTGCTTTCTCTCTGGGACTCTTTTGCAGTCTCCATCCCTCTCTGTTTTCTTTTTACCTCCAGGTCCACACACACAGGCAAACCCCACCTTCCCACCCCTCCCGCAGTGGCAACAAGTCTTTTCTTACTTAAGTCAGCTGAGCTTCACTTCCTTTGCTGGTTCCTCAAGCCCCTTACTTAACCCCCATCAGCTCAACAAAGTATAGACAACCTGGGCAGGGCCTACATGAAACCCCTCTTAAAATGTCAAATAGCTGGAGGTGCTGTTCATGCAATAAGGTGACATTATATAAGCGCAAATTTAAATTGAAAATTGCACACAGTATTACATTGCGTGATTTTAGAATAGTGCACATTTAACAGTGTTAACATAGCTTTCTATTGCACACAAATTTTGAAATAACATGTATCCTCCACAAATAAACATTTGTAAACATCGCCTAACTTAAATTGTCAGAATACACTGTGAAGTGTATTTAGCTATCACCACCACTTTACCACATTAGCCTACGAACAGAAACCCACCATTCTTCAGCATGATTTGCCTTGACTATGGCAGATTCGAATTCCATAAGGAATCTATCTTCTAGGCCTGAATCTTTTGATTGAATGAGCAGGATTATAATTAGACTTTAATAATTTTGTCCTGATATATAGTTTAGGTATCAGAAATGTATAAATAAGCACAACATGCTATATTAATTGTAGCTTTAATATTAATATCAAATTCAATATTTTGTTTCTACTTAAAGTGGTATTTTCCAAAGACAGATAATGTAGCAATGTACAAAACAGTGCTTTTTTAGCATATGTGGCCGTGAACTTAAACATTGGTTTGATGGTTAGTGACACATGTCTGCTAAGTGTGCAGCTTGTAAAGAAAGTACTTTCTATTGTTCAATAATATATCCTATTTAATTGCTCTATTATTGAATAAAAATCCCTAAAGAATTTTCACTTCCAGCAATGTTTTCTGACTTCCTCTTGGTGTCTAGACAATAATGATTTATTGAAATGCATGGGGAGCAAAATAAGAAAAGGCCTTAAAAATATATGACATTTGTGGTTATTGAGGTGGGGGATGGAAGAAAAACAAAGCAATATTGTGGCTTGGTACTAAGTTTCCAGATAAAGCCATTTTGACATAAACAGGATTAAATGATCAAAAATCCCAATGTCAAAGAGTTATATTAGACCAAGATGATAACACAAGGGTCAGAAGTTAAGAAATTTATAAAAATCAAAATGATTTTCTATAAAAATGTCAAAGTAAAGTGGCAAATAATCTTTTAAAAAACAAAAATAGTCATGGAAAAATCAGAGTCTTTTCCACACTAGGCACCATGTTTTCCATGAGTATCATGAATGGGCTTGTCAGTTTTAGTTTTCAGCTAGTCCTGGAACTCAGGGCTCAGAGCCCTTGGAGCCTGACCTTTTCATTCAACATCTGAGTCCTCTCATGTCATAACACCCAAGCAGGGAGTCAGCCTCTACTTGAATGCCTTTAGTTGTCACCCTACTTTATTTGAGACAGCTTGGTTTGAATTAACTTTCACCCAGTACTATTAATTCGATTTTGTAGGACACTAAAAGACTTGCATTCATTAATGCTTTGGTGTAACTGTATATATCCCTTCCAAAATTCATGTGTTGGAACATAAACCTCAAGGCAGTGGTATTAAGAGGTGGGGCCTTGGAGAAGTGATTGAGCCATGAGGGATCCGCCCTCATGAACAGATTAATCCCCTTAGAAGAGAGGCTTCTGATTGCTGCTTGGTTCTTCCATCCCTTCTGTCCCTTCTACTATGAAAGAACACAGTACCTGTCACCACCAGAGGATGCAGCAACAAGGCACCACCTTGGAAGCCAAGAGCCAACCCTTGCCAGACCCTGAATCAGGTGGTGCCTTGATCTTGGACTTCTTAGTCTCCAAAACTGTGAAAAATAAATTTGTATTATTTACACATTACCCAGTCTAAGGTATTTTGTTATAGCAGGAGGACAGTTAACTTTTGCCCAATCTAACTTTTAAAACCTTCAGCTAAGCACTTTGCAAGTGTTATTTCAATGAATTTAAAGCACATTTACAAAGTAAGAAATTTCCCAATTCATTGACAACATTAACAGAGTCCAGTATAACCTGAAACATATATATTTAGCATTTGGCCCATTTCCTAGGCTTGGTGAGCAGCATGTGATACAGACAGTGAAGGGTTTTGTGCCTCATCATACATATTCTCAACAGACTAGAGGATGAAAAGAGATGTAAAACATGGCAAGGAGTCATACTCATTCCAGGATATATTCTGGAAGTTGTAAACTCTTAATAAAAACAAAGGTCAATCGTGCATAAAAGATTGTTATTTCGTTCTCATATTTGCATGTATAAAAATTCTTAATACAATGTCCTTATGCTGCCATAAGAATACCACGTTTCCCGCCACAAGTCATTATCAGATTAGAGGGGCAGCAAGGAGTAAAGAGTCTTCTACATCATTTCGTGTCTTCATATACTACTATTTTACCACTTTCCAGACAAACAAGAGCTTTTGTAGAGTCATCTTGACGCCTCTCTGAAGGAAGAATCTACAACCCCACTTAGTTTTACTGGCCTATACCAAAACCATGAAAAAGGTAAACTTTGTATTGATATTTCCCCATCTTTCCTTTCTGAGATTAGGTTTTTTTTTTTTTTTTTTTCTGACTTGAAAATCAAAAACAACAATTTGAGGAAAGAAGGCACACCAATTAAAGAGTAATGGCAGGTATCTGGTGAGCTAGTACAAGCCCAGAGAGGCCAAGTCCCAGGTGGACAGCAAGGTGTGGCCTGGGGCATTGGAGCCAACCAGGGAAAAGCAAAGGTTCTACTTTTATTGTTATTTGAGGTGGCTCCAGCATTCCTTGTCACCTTAGCACATGCTTGGCTCCTGAGATTGGGGGTAGGAATGAGAAGGGATGAGTGGTTTAAGTTTGTCCCTCCAAACAAGGGAAGTTCTGGATAAGTGGACAGCCAGGAACATTAGGGGGTGTTCTCCAAGCTTTCCCACACACCCCCAAACTCTTCCAGCAATCTACTGTGGCCCTGCAATCAAGGGACACTGCTCAGTGACCGGATGTGCGCACTTCCCCTTCCCAACTTGCAAGATGCTCTGTGGAGAGACCCACCGTTTGTTTTGGTTCCCACTTGTATACCTGTGAATGCTCACGTTTCCTGCCCTGCTGAATGTCTTCCATTTGCTTCCTCAGATCCACTTTCACCCTTTCCCGCTGGTGCTGACCTTCACTCTCTTCCAGGTGAATTCAGTCAGGGAGAAGCTCCAGGAAATTGGAGGAAGGTGAGATTTGGGTGGTTATTCCCCCAATTCCTGCTGGCCAGTGTGCAATCAGTTGGTTTCCATCAGTCCCTCTACTGAAGGCTCCCCTTCCTTTCAGACACCTATGTCTTGTTAGGGTCACCGCTCCTGCCCCTTGCTCTTTCAGGGTGCTAACGGCTCCCCGCTGTTGCTAGCCCAGGGCACTGCACCACCTGTGTTGGTTTACCTCTGCCATTGTGACACCTGTGTAAACGGTCTCTTTATTAAACTCTTCTGGATTCCCCAGTTTGATCGAATCATCTATTTCCTGCCAGGAACCTGACTGATTCACCTTCCAACTAGGAATGACCTATTAATCTTTTTTCCACCTACCCAAATCCTACCGATCCTCTAAAGCTCAGCTCACATTTTAGTTCGAATCTCACTGTCATACTTGTACATCTACATTGATAGCTCCCATCTGATGTTCTTTAGGCCTACAATCAACACCTCCCAATTGTCCTCTGTTTCCATCTCTTCCTCATCTCAGCACCACCAGTACTGCTGATAACATACTTCGCTTATATTCTTATAACTTGGTCCTGTGTTGCCTGAGTATTAGGAGCTCAACAAAAGTCTTTCCTGAGCTGTAGAGGTCACTGTCTCCCTTGAAGGGAGGTGTGAGTGCACATTCACCTGAAGTTTTACGATCATGTCATAGGATCACAGATAATTAGAATAAGAAGGAACTAAGGAAATAATTTGGCCCAATCTCCCAACTGTGGTGATGATAAAACTGGGGCTTAGAGAGGTGATCTAACAGTCCAACATCTCATAGACAGTGAGTGGCAAATCTAGGGCTCAAAGCCAAAATTTTTTAAATAAACTTTTTGTTGCTTCTGATACTGGTTTTTAGTATCTCAATTTTTTTTTTTTTTAGTTTATTTATTTCAAAGTATTATGGGGTACAAATGTTTTTGGTTACAAGGATCACTTTTGGTAATGCTTGAGTCAGGGTTATAAGTGTGCCCATCACCCAGATAGTGTTCATTGTACGCATTAGGTAGGTTTTTGCCCATCCCACTTGATTGATTTCCATCGAGTTATACTTCCCTCTATGCACATCTGTGCTCATTGGTTAGTTCCAATTTAATAGCAAGTACATGTAGTGTTTGTTTTTTCATTCTTGTGATATTTTGCTAATTATCCCCAGTTCCATACAGATTGTTGCAAAAGGTATTAAGTCATCCTTCTTCATGGCTGAGTAGTATTCCATGGTATACATATACCACATTTTGTTAATCCACTCACGAACTGATGGGCATTTGGGTTGATTCCACATATTTGTAATTGTGAATTGTGCTATAATAAACATTCTAGTGCAGGTACCTTTTTGATAAAATGAGTTCTTTTCCTTTAGGTAAATGCCCAGTAATGGGATTGCTGGATCAAATGGTGGGTCTACTTTTAGTTCTTTGAGCAATCTCCATGCTGTTTTCCATAGAGGCTGTACTAGTTTACAGTCCCACCAACAGTGTATAAGTGTCTCTTCCTCTCTGCATCCATGCCAACATCTATCAACAGAGCAAATGGACAACCTGCTGAATAGGAGAAAATATTCACAAGTTATACATCTGATAAAGTGCTAATAACCAGAATCTACAAAGAACTCAAGCAAATCAGCAAGAAAAAAATCAAGCAACCCTATTAAAAAGTGAGCAAAAGGCCAGGCGTGGTGGCTCACGCCTGTAATCCTAGCTCTCTGGGAGGCCGAGGCGGGCGGATTGCTCGAGGTCAGGAGTTCGAAACCAGCCTGAACAAGAGCGAGACCCCATCTCTACTATAAAAATAGAAAGAAATTAATTGGCCAACTAATATATATATATAAAAAATTAGCTGGGCATGGTGGCACATGCCTGTAGTCCCAGCTACTCGGGAGGCTGAGGCAGAAGGATTGCTTGAGCCAGGAGATTGAGGTTGCTGTGAGCTAGGCTAACGCCATGGCACTCACTCTAGCCTAGGCAACAAAGCGAGACTCTGTCTCAAAAAAAAAAAAAAAAGTGAGCAAAAGACATGAACAGAAGTTTTTCAAAAGAAGATAGACAAATGGCCAATAAATATGAAAAAAATGCTCAATGATGTCACTAACCATCAGGGAAATGCAAATTAAAACTACAATGAGATATCACCTTACCCCAGTTAGAATGGCTTTTATTAAAACTCAATGTTTTATTATCAAAAAATTTACCTCATCGTATCTGAATCCTTAGTATATTCCTTCCATTTCAAAACAGCATATATTTGTTCCTCCTAGTGAAATACAATTTTCCTGAGCCCCCCAGAGCCACTAGTTATTCATGCATTCTTCCTGCACATGCCACTTTAAAAATTAACCACCCAGACAAAGACTGGATTCTATTCTTCCCTGCGTATCTGGGAAAGAGAGAATAGAGCCCTTTGGCTTTTCACTTCAATATTCTCACATAAATTCAAGCTAACACAAAGAGTATTCCGGCCATCATCTGCAGCTTCACTCACAGCTACATGCTGAATAGAAAAGGGATCAACTACTCATATTTAAAATATTCATAATTACACACTCTGTCCTACAAGGAGCACCTGGCTGCCGGCAGATACACAGGGAGAACTGCACAGAGCCATGAGCTCTACTCTGTGGTGGAGTCCAGCCCCTGTACGGTCTGAACCCTGGAGTTCTGAATATTTAGATCAAATGCAAGCTCGTAGTACACGCCGTGCAGTGATGAAGCCAGCTTCCTCTCTCAATCCTCTTACTAGCACATGTTAGGAATTCTGAACATGTCAAAGTGAATTTGTTTCCTGCTCTGATGGAGAATGATAGGCATGTGCATTAGTGGATCAGTCACCTTAGGTTTTACCAGATCTGAATGTAAAAATTAGCACTTGATTGCAACATTCTGTTAAGTTAGCACAAGTCAGCCATAGGAAAATAGAAAACATGAAGACAATGGAGTGCTGTGCTTGGCTCATGTCATGACCATGAACCCATGACACGACCCAGAACATCGCTGTGTGGATTTCCAACGATGAGTGTTCCACCCCTTCCTCTATCAGGCGCATCATTTAGTGCAACCCTTTTTATTACATTAAAGGAGGCTCCACATAAAAATGTCAGCAGCATCCAGTTGACTCACGGAATTGAGAACTGTGCATTTGCCGCCGATTTAAATTAATTTTGCTTCTTGAACCATGAAAAATAGTTCTTTGAACAAGGATTCATGATAAATACACATGTGTAAAAGGCCCTTAATCATAATTATCTTAAATACATAAAGCACAGTTTAAGACTGTCAGCCTCATTAATTTCTCATGGTATAAAAGAACAAAAACAAACGGTAAATGAGAAAAGTATATGTCATAATTTAAATGTATTATGCATGGTCATTTAGCTCATTAAATTAAAAATTCTTTATAAACTCTGGGCAAAAGAACATTTCTGCACTACCCATTGACAGCAAACAATGTTGTAATTTTCTTGTAGAGAACTAGTGTTTTATGTCATTTGGATTTTAAGAGAATACTACCTACAATTAAAATAGAATTCGAATTTAGGAGTCCTCCCTTATTCATGGGGGATATGAAGACCAAGACCCCAGTGGATGCCTGAAACTTTGAATAGTACTAAGCTCTCTCTATATATTATGTTTTTTCCTATACATACATACTTATTATGAAGTTTAATTTATAAATTAGGCACAGTAAGAGTTTAACAACAATAACAGATAATAAATGAAAACAATAAATTAGCCAGCCTCATGATGCTTGTGCTTTGGAGCCATTATGTAGTAAAATAAGGGTTACTTGAACACAAGCTTCATGATACCTCTACAGTCGATCTGATAACCAAGGCAGCTACTAAGTGACTAGTTGGCAGGTACCATACATGACCTGGAGATGCTGGACAAAGGGAGGAATCCCATCCTGGGCAGGATGAAGCGGGGTGATGGGAGATATAATTGCGTTACTCAGAATGGCATGCAATTGAAAACGTAGCACACATAGTAAGGGCTGAGTAAATATCAATGAGAATGACACACCTCCAGACACTGTGTCTATATTTACACCTACAGACTCTAGTCCTCCCTGTGACCCATGCTCTGAATAATCGTAAGGTTTATGTCCCAGCCTCTGAGACACACGTGTCTCACCAAGGCCTCCCACACACCTGCTTCTTCTTGGTTATCTGGTCTAATTAACTTGATGTCATCAATATGGTGGGTCAATGTGATAGTGTTCAGGACAGTCAGATGGCCCAGGCCCCTTCAGATTATATCATAACAGAGAGGGAAGAGCTAACGCAGCCCTGAGATGAGACCTCTATGTGTGCTGTAGTCTGTTCTACATGAATATGAACTGCTTCCACTCCTCCTTTCTGATAAGATGGGGAAGAACACATTTGCAAGACCTCTGGCTGCACACTTCATACTGATATTCATAATTAGATGTGTTCCTCTGCCAGGTAAGATACTGCTCTGGCACAGTAACTGCAATTGGAGCTACTTCCTGGCTGAATTTGCAAAAGTCCACTGTCATCCTCTGAGATCTGTTTGATTTTTCTGTTTTTGTTTTGGGGTATTTTTGTTTGGTTTGTTAGTTTTTGAAGGGGCCAGAAACTGATGAATTTGATGGGGACATGATGAGGATTATTACCCCTGAGTTCTTTCGGTCTTAAGGATGGCACTAATTGCTGCCATTTTTCCCTAGATGCAATATTGCTTTCTATTTATTATCTTGGCTGTGACAGGGGTGGGGACTGTTCTATTTTTTTATTTCACAAGAAGGTACTTTATTATGAAAATGTAGATCATCATAAATACATTTTTGCTGCTTATATAAACTTCATTTTTCTCTTCTGAAAGTTCAGCCCTGCAATAAATCTTGTAGAATCTTTAAAAGAGAAGACTTCTGTTTTCGCACTCTGATCCTCAAATGTTCGGCAGACATATTCCTACCAATAGGTGGGCCATTCTTGTTTTGCTATAGATCCAGCAACGTCCTGTGCATTCACATTTATTGGTCTCCCAAAAAGTACAAGAATCTTCTCCCAACTATTTAAAAGGTAGTGGTCCAGGAATACTCCCAAATATTCTTATAGTCACGTAGCTCATACCCAAGGCCACAGAACACAGTTTGTCAGGTAAAGTCCTTTCTTCACTCTGTTGTGTATATCCATTGTTTTAGATTTATTTTTGCCCCTGTGAGAGTCTCTCTCCACATTTTTCCACCTTACCCTCTACCCTGGAAGGCTGACCTAAATGTGTGGGGACTGTTTTAAATGCTTCCCCACTATGGCAGCTCTGAACACTCAAGCTGAAGGATCAATGTGGGAAGTTTCACCAATGACCAAGCATTTACATACCAAATATACATTTGAGGATTAGAAATGGCTACTGGGTGTTGGGTCCATGGACCCAGTGGATCCACCAAGAGCTGGACCTGGGCCAGGACCCCGTTTTATCACCAGTCCCGAGGCGCCCCCACCTAACCGGGAGGCCATGATACCCTTCAGCTCCCCAGGTGCCAGTGCCACCTTGTGAGCCCCCAGGAGGACTCACAAACGTCTGAGTGCTACACTTTCCCCAGTGTGCACTACCTGAGTAAATGGTCACAGGTCCCTTTGGGGGAAATTTGGAGGGGCCATTGCCATATATACTTGCCATGGGGTTGCAGGTCCTTGTGCTAGAGACCTGGCCTCTCCTTCAGTCAATGGCTTCCAGGTCTGAGAATGGGTTCAAGCCTGGACACTAGTAAGGGATTGTGACTTGTGGGAAGAATACCTACCCTTAGCCTCCTTGATTTTTTTTAACTGTATAGATTGAACAGTTCTCTTGATGACTGTCCATCTATCTTGCTGTGTTCCATTAACCATCTCCATGGTTCTATGCAGCTCACAGACAGGGGGTTGCATGGTTTGAACCTCCCTTCAGCACCAAAGGAGGAGCAACCAGGCCTTCCTTTCCTGGATGTCTAGATGTGGGGCACAAGGGAAGAAGGAAGGATGCAGCTGAAAGATGTTGGCAATCACATATCAAAAAACGGAGTCAGACTCTGTCACAAAAGGGAATACAGACTTCACTCAGTCTAATGAATAAGAAAATATTAATACAATGACAGAAGCAGAGAACCAAGAGGAAGAAATATTAACCATAGTTGGTTTACCTGTAGACACCTGCCACTTAAACAGGAAGTCCCAGACATCTTCCCCATCCTAATGGAAGGCACACCATACATAATGGAGAATGATCCAGCACGTCACCACCAGCAAGTAGAATGTGGCCAGTGGGTACATTTGTAGGTGCAGAGGGGAGCCAGGTTTTCTCTCTCTAACACCTCAATGATTCTTGTCCTCTCCATCGTGACAGCACATTTGAAAGAGCAAACACATGAAAACAAGTACATTTCTAGGTGGTGAGGAATTACAAATTGGGAATGTGGTAGAAACACAGAAAAATGGAGACAAATCTCCACTCAGTGGGATTACCCAGAAATCTCCGAAGTAGTCTCATTTTGCGGGAAACCCATAAACTCCAAATGCCAAAATTCAGTGCCCTCCATTCCAAGGGCCTAAGGGCACCTGAGAGCACTTTAGGTCCCTTTAAGCCATTAGGAGACTTTAATTCCTTTTTCCAGGGAGCCAGGAGGGTGGTGAACTCAGCAAGCCTATAAATTAAGTCATGAGTCCTATTTTCCCAGCAAAACGAGTTCAGAATGTACCATATAATTCTCCAGACTTGACATACCTCCATTAAAGGGGATGCCCACTGAGTGTGGGATTACAAAAAAAAAAAAAAATTACAGATTTTCTAATAAATGCCTCCAACTGCCAACAAAATCTGGTTCTCATGATATTTTTTTCCTTTGTGGCTGAAAATAAACATGTTCATTGCTTTATAGTTTCCTGAAATGATGACATTCTAGTATAATTGCAAATTCTTGTGACAGGCAAACGATATTTACTGACTGCGATGCTCTATAAAGCGCATGAGTAATGGCTCAGGGTAGCCTCTCTCAGTGAACATGAGCACAAAGTAAATCGTCACGAGAACTTTTTTGCTAATGCGGACCACTTGGTCATGTGCTTTTTCATCAGACTACCATTGAAACGTTTGCTCAGTCTTAAAAGGTATCTCTCCAAGTTCTTAAATGCAAAGATTGGCAGTAAAATAAAAACTTAACAAAGCCCTGTTTTTCTTATTATTTAAGTCAAGAGAAAGCCAAATGAAATATCCACTACTATATTCAGATCACACACAGAGACTATTTTTTTTTATAAATTGGCTAAATCAGCCGAGCAAAAGACTTTATTAATATTTGCTCAAGTAAAATTTTAAGTCTAGAATAACAAATTGAAGTAAAACATACTCTAGAAGAGTTATTTGGTGTGCTAAGGGAGCTAAACTTTCCCAATTTACTGGACAATTCTGTAAGTATTCTTGCCAATTATCTAGGCCCTAATGTAGTTATTTCATATAGAAGATCTGCACACAAACCAGTGTAAACCAGCCATTGCAAGAGCTAGTAGGGAAACAGAAAACAAAATGTAAAACTGAAAATAAGAGACCTGGATGCGGCTCCCCCTCCATCTCCTGCATACGCACGCATGATTTCAACCCATCTGCCTCTCTCAAACCCAAGGGGTTCCCTACACCCCTAGAGGAGGGAACCCCTCAAAGCAGTCTGCCTCCAAAGGCTGCTCTGATCTTGGAGAGCCGTGTCAGGGGTCCGACAGCAAGGATACAAGGACACTCAATCCTGGAAAACCATGGCCACGTGTGACTTGTGCACGCCACGTAGGGGCGGGGAACCGTGCTGAGATGGTTGACATCAGCCTCAAGCGAATGTGCTTGAGAGGGAAATGGCTGACATCAGTCCTAAGTGGGCAGTGTTGTCCTTCCCCTCAAGAGGAACTCAACAGCCCAACCATAACCTGCCTGACGCATAAGAACAAAGAGGCAAGATAATCAAGAGACTTCCTTCCTCCAGAGGGCTCAGCAGAAGACAACAGCCAGCAAGGGGGGAGACACTTCACTTTCATTACATGGAGGGCTGCTGCCATTTATCATGTGCCAACAGACAGACCTGAGCACCATAAAAAGCAAGGAAGTAGCAACCTATGGAGTTCCCCGGAGAGCACTGTGGCTGAGGTCAGTGTGCAGGACATGCTCTCGGGAGCAGCTGGGGGTGAGGAAGCAGGCCTGGGCAGACAAACCGAACTCAGATGCAGTCGCAGCAAAGACCTCACCCAGCCCTGCGGAGAGCTCTGGAGCCGGGATGGAGCTGGAGTGGGGCAAAGTGGCTGGGCCCTTATTATCCTCCTATCCACCATTATATGCCACCTGCCTCGGGAAAGAAATTTACCAAGGGCAAGTCCAGGGGAGGGACTCTGCTGAGAGCCCCGCTGCCCTTATAATTGAGTTTGAGACCTAAACCTCAACTTCTACCCTCCATTTACAGGAGATGAGAGTGTCTTTATATGCCACCAAAGCATGCTTAGTGGGTGATGAATTATCCCCAAACTTATCTTGCTCCAATATATTAATGGCTCCCAGCAACAACAATCTGATTCCAAAGTCCTTATAATTCCTGCTCTCAGACGCCCGAGCCATTCCTCCACCAGTGCTCTCTGGTCTACACATAGGCCACCCTCCTCACCCCCAGGTGGATTAGCCATCACACCAAGGCCATGGGCCAGGGGCTGTCAACGCTCCATCTGACACCAACCATGGGGTCCTCACCGCCAACCCACAGCAGATGACTCAGCTCTCAAATCCCTGTCGTAGGCTGTGTTCTTTGGAAAGCAAACTCTGAGACTCCGCGATGTGCATGCTAGAGGCTTATTGGGGAGTTCTCTCAGAAATACTACCTGTCGGGGTGAGGGAAGCAGGAGTAGGCAGAGGGAGAAGTTCAAATGCCACGTAGTTACAACAGAGGTCACAGCCAATCTCACTGGGAGCTGTCGGGTCTGTGACGCTCCCTCAGTCTTGCCCCTGACCGAGGCAGGACTTCACCACGCATCAGCCACCCGTCGGAGGTGGGCTGCCCCCAGGGAGGAAGCAAGGCCTGGGCAAGGCAGCCCTCTCTGGCTGGGGGCAATTCCTGGGAGACTCTAATCTGTGAGTTGTCAGCAGGTGACTCTCGAAGGAGCTGGGGAAGAAAGGACTTCTTGAAGGGGGGCCTAAGTGCATGCCAAAGCACCCACCACACCATCAAAGAGGGATCTGAAACCAGGTAACAGTTAAAACACAGGGCACACGTCCAGTTAGCTGGAACTACCGGCGAAGTTCGAGATTCATTTCAACAAAATAATGAGTACTCAGTGCTATTTCCCCTGAAGCTAAAAATTAGGATTTCCCAACTATATGATGAAGTGGCAAGGTTTGTTGCTCATCACTGTTTGCTCTTTCATCTTCTCCAACTTGAGCTATATGTATGTTCTGCTTCATTCACTATTTGGTTAGAGCATATGCTTCAGTATTTTCACAGATCTCATCCACAGGTGATCTGAAGTATCATATATCATCACATACATTTTTCTGTAAGGGTCTCTGAGCCCTTCCAAATTCTTAAGTTGTAGTCCTTTTTATTTGTAATCTGTAGATATTATATAATTTCAAAATTACAAGTTCTAGCTATTATTGACTAGTCACATAATTGGAGTTTAAAACTTTTTTTTTTTTTTAGAGACAGGGTCTTGCTACATTGCCTAGGCTGGTCTCGAACACCTACGTTCAAGTGATCTTCTTGCCTCAGCCTCCCAAGTAGCTGGGACTACAGGTGCATGCCACCCCACCTGCCTCATTTGATTAGATTTGATGCTGTTTAATCACTAAAAGAACAATAATGTTGTCTAAATAATTTTGTGTATACTCCTGATTGTGAGGTTGTACAACCATAAGCATGATCATTGTCTCAATTCTTGTCTGAGACAATAGGCTGTCTCCGGCCCTGTTTTTAGTATATAATGGAGATTTTAAAAGGTGGTGCCACTTAGCCCAGGTTCTGGTTGCCACGTTTGATTGAGGTTTACATTTCTTTGACTTTTAAGATATTTATATATTTCCTTACCTAGCCCTTACTAAAGACCTTTGAACTTGATGGAATTCCACTTTCTTTCATACTGTTCTTATTTGGTAGTCACATAATTACCTCAGGTTTTAAAATTACGTCTAACTGGATTCTCAGTATCTGAATCCACAGTTACGATTTCTGAGATGGTCCTTCCTATGCCACCTATCTAACATTCATTTATCATATTTCATCACATTTAAGCTGCATATTTTTTCATGTGTCTTCAAATTGCTGTCAGCCAGGTGTCAGTCTTGAAACATTATCTTTCCTTGCACATCGTATTAATATTAGTTTTCCATGGTTGCTGTAACAAGTTGCTACAAACTTAGTGCCTTAAAACAACACAAATTTATTATCTTACAATTCTGGGGTTCAGAATTGGGTCTCACGGAGCTAAAATTAAGGTGTTGGCAGGGGGCATTCCTTCGGGAAGTTCTAGGGGAGAATCTGTTTCCTTGCCTTTTCCAGTTTCTACAGGCTGCCTCTTTCCTGGCAATTGCCCTTCCTCCATCCCCAAAGCCTGTAACAGCAGGTCAACTTCTTCTCACATTGCATCACTCTGACCTATTCTGTCTCCCTCTACTGCACTTGAGGGTCCTTGTGATTCCTTTGGCCCACAGGCATAATCAAGCATAATCTCCATATTTTAAGGCTGGCTGACTGGCAACCTTGATTCCATCTGCAACTTTAATTCCCTTTTGCCACGTCACCTACCATATCTACAAGTTCCACAGACTAGGATGCTGACACCTTTGGGGGCAGGCAATATTCTGCCCACCATCCACTTGGCTATTGACACTTGCAGAACTGGTGCCAGACATTTGGAAAAAACAGAGACAACAGTGAAACATGCTTTAAAAATATTCTACATCTCTAAGACTCTTGATGTCACAGAGGATAACATTATGTGGGAAAAATATGAATATCAACTATAATCTGCAATATTTCGATTCTAACTCTAGAGTCAATGGCATCTTATACTGAATAAAACAGAGTACACACTCATAGATAGCCAATTTTAATATTTTCATATTTAAATAAAAACACAAAATATACAAATATATGAGAACACATTTCTATTTTTCCAAGGACATAATTTTGCTTTGTATCCCTATGATGATAGTGCCATTTCCACTAAATGCAAAATTGGAATTGTAGGCATTTGCATGTTTGTATTCCATGCAGGAAACTGGATTTCTGCATTGAAAAAATAATAGCCAAAACATGAAAAGGTGATGTGAACATGAGATTGCAGATAAGACTTATATGAGTAAATATAAGTGCTAAGATGATATAGCAAGAAAAACAAAAACGATATAAGAAGATATATGCTTAGTTTTCTTTCACAAAATCATATTAAAGTGAGCAGTCCTAATAGAGATGCAACTTTTTCCATGTGGCTCTAAAGACACATGAAAAAAATATGTCATGAAAAACAAATTTGAAAATCTAGAGGAAATGGATGATTTCTTAGCTGAATATAAATCACCAGAGTTGACCTAAATAAAAACTTGAATATGGCAATTACCACAGAAAATAACTATCATTTTGAAAAAGTCACCAGAGGTTGGATGTGGTGGCTCATACCTGTAATTCCAGCACTTTAGGAGGCTGAGGCAGGAGGATCGCTTGTGGCCAGGAGATCAATGCCAGCCTGGACAATATGATCTCTACAACAAATAAGAAAAACTAGCAGGGCATGGTGGTACATGCCTGTACTCCCAGTTACTTGGGAGTCAGAAGCAGGAGAATTGCTTTAGTCCAGGAGTTTGAGGCTGCAGTGAGCTATGATCAGGCCATTGCACTCCAGCCTGGTGACAGAGCAAGATCCTATCTCCAAAAAAAAGAAAAGAAAAAGAAAGTCAATTTAAATCATTCCAGACTCTAGGAAAAAAAACAGAAAGCTCTTACATTTCTTTCATATAGCAAGCATTACCTTAACATCAAAACCTATGAAAGAAAATAACATAAAAGAAGAAAAAAAGAAACTATAGCTCAATCTATGAATATAGGTACAAATATCAAACAAAACATCAGCAAAAATAGAATAAAATGCCAAAGGAACAGTATCACATGACCAAGGGTAGTTTATTCCAAGAATGCAAGGTGGTTTAATGGTAAGAAATCTAGCAACATAATCCTTTATATAAATGCATTAAAAAGAGAAATAATTGAAAATAATAAATGCCAAAATGTGATTTGATACAATTCAGCAGTCATCTCTAATTATAAAACTCTAAGACTATAGCAACAGAAAAACACAACTTACAACACAGACTATTTATAAAAAATCAAGCTCATATATTTTCCTAAATAGCAAAATATCACAACCATCTTAATTAAAATTAAGAATTTAGCAGGTATGCCCAATATTTTCATTATAATTTAATTTTATCTCTGATTTTTGGAGAAAATAAAATAGCTGGCATAAAAATTGGAAAAGGAGAAGTAAAACTATGTTTTTTTCTGCTGCTAATATGAATCCATGCCCAGGAAGCCCACAAGAAATTTAAGTTTAGTTAAAAAAAAAAAGAAACTTTAAAATGAACAGAATGGGCAAGGTAGCTAGATATAAGATAAATATGTAAATATAAGTATCTTTTCTCCATCTAAGTATTTAGAGATGGAAAATATATTTACAGTAACAATAAGCAATGAAATACTTAGAATAAAATTCCCAAGAAAGATACAGTCTGTATGAAGAGAACTATAACACCACTGAAGACATAAAATAAGATCTGAAAAGTAGAAAGACATACCAGGTTCTTGGTTGGGAATACTTAATTTCATAAAAATGTATTATACATATGTAATGCTATTTTGATTTGAAACTCAAGGTTTTATTTCTAAGGCAGTAGGAAGAGTGCTAGAAATTTTTATATTAAAACACTTTTGAAGGACTATGTTTAAAAAAATTAAAACTCTGTATACCATAAGACACTTGAAAGGCAAGATAGAAACAATGGCTATAGAACAAAATTGCATCAGAGATGATATACAAAGGGATATATTTGTAATATACAAAGATCTCACAATTTTATAAGAAAAAGATAAAAATTAATAAATGGACAAGGATATGATTAGGTAATTCCTGAAAAAATTTAGTTTTTCAACAAACATATTCCTTAAACAAATCCAAATTGTCAACCAGCAAATTCACTCATCATTGGAAAAATGAAAATTTAAGTAACAGTGAAATTTTACTTCACACCTAACAGAGTGGCAAAATTTAAAGAGAATTACATTCATATGCAATTCCTATTGCTGGCAGAGATATGGGGAAAAGATACTCACAAAATATTTCTAGGTATAAATGTGATGCGCTACAGCTGTTTTGGAAAGTAATATGATAACTTGTATAAAAATTTTAAATGCATAATATGCTCTTTGACCCTGCATCCTTAACTTCTTAAAACCTATTCCATAGAAATAAACACACTACCAGCAATAAGGACACATGTATAATGATGTTTGTTGAAGTATTCATTATTCATAGTAGAAAAATGGAAACAAAGTGATTAAATAAATTATGGCCCATTTACAACATGAAATATTAAGTAGCCATTAAAATGAACAAATAGAAACTACTGTGTATCAATTAATTTGGAAGGATTTCCACAAAATCCTACTTAAAAAAACCTTGCTTCATTTTTGTACTTGCATATGTAGGTCAGTATGTAATTGTATGAAAATAATAAGAAGAATATAAAAATAAAAGGATACATAACATTTGTTAACATAGGTCACTGGGATGGAGGGGGAAAGAAGGAGAAAAAAGGGATGTGGGAATCTAGCAAAAAGAGAAAGAGAAAAGTAAGATTTTTACTTGAAGAATATGTAATATGATCAAATTATACATTTGTATAAAGTTATAAACCTGTGTGTGTGCATACAATTTTTTAAATAAGAAAATCTAAATGCCAACAATTGGATTGTGATTAAAAAAACATGCAACTGAATTAAGACCCAGGGGAAAGACAACATCATAAAGCACTACAATTTAGTCACTATGGTAACTTGCAAAGTATTTTTGCAGAGCTGTTCTCACAGCTCCCACACGTACAATCAAAACAAATATGCTAAACACTAAAATTTAAAGAGAATTGGTCATTTTATGTGTTGTATTAACACATTTAATAGTGTCATTGTACATAATATAAAATTTATGTTAAATCCATATAATATTATGCAGTCAAGGCCATCTATTTTTGTTTACTTTGATGACTGTGGTTTCCATAGGGCTGATATTATAAAGAAAAATTGTTGATGCTACAGTACAAAGTGATGAGAGAGACTACAAACAAATGTAATGTACACCTTTCAAATACAGATATATGTGTATATGTATGTATACCTATTATGATGTATATATACTTATTTGAATATGTTATATACTACAGTATATACTATATTTGTATATATTGTCACCTTTTAAAAATCATATTGCTTATATGAGTTAATTTCCATAATGGTACTAAAAGAATTAGCTATTATGTTACCTCCTTTAGAAGATAATAATATGTAAATAATGTAGAGTGTTTTCCATTATGAATTTCACCTTTTTCCTCCATTCAATTTTATGTATTAAAAAAATTCACAGTAAAGTTTTTGGAAAGGAAAAACCTAAAAATGGTACAAGATGAAATTTTAGAAAAATTATAATTTTCTATCACACTTAATGAATCAAATGTCACAAATATTTGAAATATGATGCCCAAAGCAACTGCACAACAAGATCTCATAAAGTAGTAGGTCTTTCAGTAAATTTAGAAATAATTGATACTAGATTTTAAACTATACTGATACAAAAATTTAAGGAGGAATAAAGTACATTGAAGATTATTTCTCACCAGAGATCTCACTTCCATCCAGCCAAATGTGGTGTTTCCTGCCTCATTCTTCAAATGTTACTTCCTCTTTTGAGGAGCCTTCCCTGATTCTCTCCAGCAGAGGACTTCTTGCTCTTACCTTCTGTCCTCTCTTACCACTGGTTCTACAGCAAGTGGTTTGTATATTCTTTCCCTGCTTGCCTTGAGCTCCTTGAGGGCAAAAACCAAGAGCTGGTCTTTTCTACACCTTCATTGCTTGACTACACACCTGCCCACCAGTGCCCACCTACACATCGCTTACTTCCCAGTGCCATGCTCCTGCCCATGTTATTGCATTCTTCAATATTCTCATCATCTCACTAATCTGTATTTCCCTCTGATCTCTTATGGCTACAGTTTGCTTATGCCCAGCATAGAGATCTATCTCCTTCTGTGTCCGTGCATTGCTGTATTTATTTAAATTTTTTTTATTTCTAACACACTTTATGGTAATATGACTATAGGGGATTAAGAAATGTTAAATTGGTTTTGTACACATACCGCTTAAGACAGACAATAATGATAAGTATTACAAAGGTTTTTATAAACAACAATAGCACATCAAGGCATTTGGTTTGTAAGTAGCATTTGTTTTATATTTCAGGCCATGAAGATGCTCTGGATGACTTCAGAATATATGAATTTGTCACTTTTCCAGATGCCTCTGGTGTTCCCAGGGTTAGTTTTCCCAGTGGCTGATTAACCAAGAAGTAGTATTCTGCTTCACCAGAGGTGTAAGCAGGATTCATTTAAACACTTGGGCAGTGTGGTCAAACGGCTGCATTGCCCATTGCTGCATTAAGCAGTGCTGACTTACTCTGTAGGGAATGACGTTGAGGATCTGGGGAGCTAAAGCATCTTTCTCTGCCTTTATGAGTAAAGCTAACACAGGTAAGAAAGTTATGCTAGTTCATAACCATTCTCTACCTGGTAAGTGAAGAGAGAACTAACGAGGTTGATGGTCAAGATATCTGAATAAATAGAGGATCAGGAACCTCTGGTTTAAATCATCTTTCATCACTTGGGTGACTGCAGCCCATCACTTTACTGAACTCTCTCTGTTCCTCAGTTTCCCCTTCGTGTCCCCTTCATATCTCCTGATGACATTGCAAAGACATTTGATCATACCCTTGAAGGTACCTCATGCCCTGCAGAAGGATGTTACCATATAGACCCAAAGAAAGCAGGTATATACCTTTCTTATTACCCTAAAGGTGCGTGAGATGGGGCAGGGGTGAGGGGGAAGCTTTTATGCAGTTGAAGTCATTTTTTCAGTCTGGGGCACAAAAAAAAAAACCACTTTTAAAGCCATCAGTTTTTAACAGACATGCAGAATGTTTCTTTGGGCTAATCAGCTCATTAAGACTTTTATAGATTTGGGGTTTTTTTTCTGTTATAGCCCAAGTTATAAAGTGTTCATTTTCATGCCTCCTCCTTGTACTAAATTCAGAACTGCTCAAGGGCAAGGGCTATGTCTAATTATTCCTTGTGGTTCCAGTGCTTAGATCAGCTCATTGTAGGGGCTTAGGGAAAGTGAGGTTGAATGAATCAATCATCACACCTCAAGGACCCTCTGTCTTACCAGGTACCATGCTAAGAAATGTAAAGTTAAAAAGATCAGGCCTTTGGCACCCTAAAGTTCATAAACAAATTGAGGATGTGGTCTTATCTTTCAATTCTACATTATAGAAACCCAACACAAACTAGCTTAAAAGGAAAAAAAGAATGTGGGCAGGGGACAGAATTTATTTGTCCTAGGCAGGTTACTTCTATTAATAGTTTTGGGAATAGCTGAATCTAAGATTCAAGGGTTTCCAACAATGTTATCCTGCAGATGAGGTCTCTTTCTATAACCTGCTCTTGGGTGACTTCATCCTCAGG